ATGAAACGCGAGATCCTCACCTCAGCTGGAATCGAGAGTTGGCCGCTCGACTGACTGAGCCACCCCGGGGCCCTGCCATCAGTGAGTTTCAACCAAATGCAGTCATTTGTAGTTCTGGTGCTCAAAGTGTCCCATCTTCAGCCCGGGGGGCCTCCCCTGTGCTAGTTGGTGTGTCTCCTGACTTTATTTGGAAACTTTCAAACACGTACGGGAAATCGTGTGACAAACCCTAGTTACCGCCTCAACTTCAGTGATTCTCGCGGACGGCCCACGTTCACGTGCACCTTCCTGCCAGCAGGCCTCAAACACCACACCGCTTCACGTGCAAACGCACTGGCATACAGCCCCAGGGAGCAAGCACCCCGCCCCTAATACAACCTCCCTGTCCTTTCCACCGAAGCCCAAAGCTCTCTAGTCGTCTGGCATAACAGCTCAGGCCTAGACGCTTCCGTGAGAAGGGCTTGGTTCCTCTCTGGAGAATGGCATTTCAGAGCGAACCACGTAGGAAAACACAGCACTTGAAGGTTTTTAGTCCATTTGGCATCGTGTAGGTGACCTGTATTCTCAGCCAGAAACTCAGGAAACTAGTGAAGGGAGTGAAACTGGGTGGCTCAGTCGGTTGAGTGTCCGACCCTGGCTCCGGTCCCGATCTCCCAGCTCACGGGTTTGAGCCCCACGTCGGGCTCTGTGCTCATAGCGCGGAGCCTGCTTGGGCCTCTTGTTCTCCTTCCCTCTGCCCCTCCTCTGCTTGTGCGGTCTCTCTCTCAAGATAAACCAACTTAAAAAAAGTTTGAAAGTAGAAACCACACCAGTGGTTAACAGAGCCAGCGGGTGATGGATTTCAATGCTCACGATGGGGCTGGAGTTGGCAGACGCAGCGATGGCACAAAGACAGACGTCATGACCGACGCGGGAGAGCCACGGCCCAGAAATCAATGGAGTTTTAACCAGCGTGCCACGAGGATTCAACGGACAAAGATGGGGACAGCCGGATGTCCACATGAAGAAAGAGGCTGACCCCGACCTCACACAACAAGAACACGTTCAAAAAGATCACAGACCTAAATGTAACAACTAAAGCTATAAAACTCTTAGAAGAAGACGGAAGTGGGGCGCCTGGGTGGCTCAGTCGGTTAGGCGGCCGACTTCGGCTCAGGTCATGATCTCGCGGTCCGTGAGTTCGAGCCCCGCGTCGGGCTCTGTGCTGACAGCTCAGAGCCCGGAGCCTGCTTCAGATTCTGTGTCTCCCTCTCTCTCTGACCCTCCCCCATTCATGCTCTCTGTCTCAAAAATAAATAAACGTTAAAAAAAAAATTAAAAAAAAAAAAAAAAGACAGAAGTATAAATCTTCCTGATCTTGGATAAGGCAACAGATTCTTAGATAGGATGCCTAAAGCATGAGCAAACAAGGAAGAAGAAATCAGAATCCCTCAAGGGGCACCTGGGTGGTTCAGTCGGTTACGTGTTGGACTCTGGACTTTGGCTCCGGTCATGACCTCGCAGTCTGTGGGATCGAGCCCCGTGTCAGGCTCTGTGCTGACAGCACGGAGCCTGCTTGGGATTCTCTCTCTCCCCCTCTCTCTGCTTCTCCCTGGCTCACACGTGCACATGTGCTCTCTAAATAAACTTTATAAAAAATTGGAATTCACCAAAATTAAACACTCCTGTGTAGCAAAGGGCGCTACAGACCGTGACCTGACAGGGGTATTTGCAGAAATTTGTATCCAGAATGTACAAAAATGCTTGCAAGTCAGTGATAAGAAGACAGATGAGCCGGGTCAAACGTGGACAAAGAATCCGAGCAGATATTCGTCCAAAGAAGATTCACAGACAGCCAATAAGCACATGGAGAGATGCTCCTTAGTTCTTAAGGAAATGCCGGAGGCAACCCTAACGAGCTGCCACTTCTGCCCCACTAGGTGGCTGGGATCGGAAGACAGACAAGAGATCTTGGCGAGGAACTTGGAGGACGGGAGCCGTCCACACCGCGGGTGTAGAGCGTAAGGCAGGGCAGCCGCCGGAGACCGCGTGGCCTGGAGTTGTCACGTGACCTGGGTGCACACCCAGGACAGCCGGGACGTGTCCACACACACGCCTGCACACCGACGCTCACGTCTGATTCGTGACGGCCAAAAAACTGCCAGTAACGCAAATGTCCACGAAACGGTGAATGGACACACCGTAACACGTCCACAGAGTATCGTTCGGCCATAGAAAGGAACCAAGCCCTGAGACACGGGGACACGGACAAGCCCTGAGAACATTACACTACGGGAAAGAAAACAGAGAAGGCCACATGTTGTCAGATTTCACTTACAGGAAATTCTGGGATAGGTGAATCCACACGGAATGGGACATTTCCTGGAATTAGTGGTACTGGTCGCACATCCTCGTGAACGTACTCGAAACCACTGAATTGTACATTTTTTAAAGGGTCATTTATTTTGAGAGACAGAAAATCCGAAGCAAACTCCACACGGTCAGCAGAGAGCCCGACGCGGGGCTCGATCCCATGACCCTGAGATCACGATCTGAACCAAAATCAAGAGACGGACGCTTAACCGACAGTCACCCAGGTGCCCCCTGAATTGTACATCTTGAGCCGTGGCTTCTATGGACGTGAGGTAGATCTCAGTTTTAAAAAGAAAGGTTAATTTGGGAATGCAAGCTGGTGCAGCCACTCCAGAAAACACGACGGAGGTTCCTCAAAAAACTAAAAATAGAACTACCCTACGACCCAGCAATTGCCCTGCTAGGCATTTCTCCACGGGATACAGGTGGGCTGTTTCGAAGGGACACACGCACCCCCACGTTTACAGCAGCGCTGTCGACAACAGCCAAAGGACGGAAAGAGCCCAAATGTCCATCGATGGATGAGTGGATAAAGAAGATGTGATACACACACACACACACACACACACACACACACACACACACACACTGGAGTATTACTCGGCAATCAGAAAGAATGAAATCTTGCCATTTGCAGCTATGTGGATGGAACTGGAGACTATTATTAGTGAAATTAGCTAAGTAAAATTAGTCAGAGAAAGACAAAAATCATAGGACTTCACTCATAGGAGGACTTTAAGAAACAAAACAGATGAACGTAAGAGAAGGGAAGCAAAACGAATATAAAAACAGGAAGGGGGACAAAACAGAAGAGACTCATAAATATGGAGATCAAACTGAGGGTTACGGGAGGGGTGGTGGGAGAGGGGATGGGCTAAATGGGTAAGAATTAAGGAATCTACTCCTGAAAACATTGTTGCACTCTATGCTAATTTAGATGTAAATTAAAAAAAATAAAAAATAAAATTAAAGACAACAAAATAAAATAAAAAATAAAAAGGTTAATGCAGTGAACACTAGAAAGAAAACGAAAAGGCCAGTGCTGTTACTGCTGTGAGCAATTAATTGCCTTTTATCCCCGACTGAAGCTTTCCATGTTCTGCCAGCACCTCGAAAGTGTGCCGCTGGTCCGTTCACCTGCAAACAGTGAGTCTCTCTCACTTCACAGCTCCTGATTGGGCAGGGGGGCTACAGTCAGAAACTTCTCAAGGGGCGCCTGGGGGGCTCGGTCAGTTGAGCGGCCAACTTCGGCTCAGGTCATGATCTTGTGGTCTGTGGATTCGAGCCCTGGGTCAGGCTCTGTGGTGACAGCTCGGAGCCTGGAGCCTGGAGCCTGAAGCCTGGAGCCTGCTTCTGTTCTGTGTCTCCCTCTCTCTGCCCGTCCCCTGCTCATACGCTGTCTCTGTCTTTCTCTCTCAAAAAAAAAAAAAAAAAAAAAAAAAAAACCATCAAAAAAAAGCCCCAGAAACTTCTCCTTAAAATCCTACTTCTTCAGGGCGCCCAGCTGGCTCAGTCGGAGGAGCGTGTGACTCTTGACTTCAGGGCTGTGAGTTCGAGACCCATGGTGGATGTGGAAATAAATTTAAAAAAAAGTTTTTTTAGTTATAAAATCCTACTTCTTTAGCTCAAGTGTTTCCTCCTCTCTGGGGCTGCACTGAGTTTGTAGGTTGACAGAAAGCACTGTGGGGGAGGCTACTGCCCTCCCGTGAGGGGACAAGGACCACAGGTCCCCTCTGCCACCATGTGGGACGGCAAGGCCAGGAAACCCCAGTTAATGGAGCACTGGGGACAGGGGACGAGGAGCACTGAGAGAGGGGACAAGGAGCATGGGCACAGGGGATAAGGAGCACTGGGGGGAGGCAGCAGAGCCCCTGCCCAGACGCCACAGGAGCTCCTGTCCCGTTTCATTTCAAGTGACAGGTGGCACCAGCCCGCCAGGAACGGAGGGGACAGCCCCAGTGCCCCATCAGGCGTCAAGAATCCCCCAGCCCGCCCCTGTGACCAAGATTTCACGGGTTACGAAGTCATTAATTCTGACCCACTCAGCGCACCAATACCAGTTGTCTTCTCGGTCACATAACTTGATAGGCCCACCCTTTGCTATGACAGGTTACTTACATAGCTCATCGGTCACGTGCTTTGGTGCCTGGCGGCGACGGGGGACGTGCATTCAATTGTTGGCCGAGGGATCCAACCTCCAGCTTCTTCGTCCCCAAGAGGGAGTCGCCACCCGCCGCCCAGGGTTGTTCTAAGAACGTGACAGAACCACGCCGTTGCAGCATTCAGCCGACTTCCTGGAGCATTCCTGATAATTAAAACAGAGCGGGTGGCGCAGAAGGAGTCAAGTACAACCGGGCAGGCAGCGTGACTTTCACTGCTTGGCGAGGAGGCGCGCAGGCCGGCAAATCCCTGAGAGATGCGTGGCCTGCGGTGGGCCCCCAGAGGTTAGCCGCTCTCCTCTGTGGTCCCGGACTAAGCTGCAGTGCGAGAGCTAGGTCACCATCTTTAAGCGTGCTGCGTCGCAGGCTCGTTATCCTGCAGAACGTACAAAATACAAACACCCCGCAAAAGGCCAGGGGCAGCTTACGTCAGTAAATTACGCTTCGTTTTCCACCGTCTGTCCTTCCGATGCACCATTTCAGGCAGGGATGGCGCTCCGAGATTTTCAGGCTGTCGCCCGCCTCCCCAGACAGTACGATTCCTGGGGTCAGACTCCGCTGTTCGTGTTCTAGTCTACAAGTGCACAGCCAACTGACCGAACCGGTTCGTTTCAAAATCATACGGTGCAGCTTTTTGGCTGAAACCCACCCTTTCCTGGGACCGGGGGGCAGGCACTTTACACCCTGGCGAGCCCCCTCCATCCAGAGCAGCAGGCAGGGTGACCCCGACCCAGGGTCACGTGGGGCGGGAAGGGGAAGCGTGCAAGGCACAGAACTTTCTGGGCCCAAACTGGCCATGTCCAAGGCAGACGGGGGGGGGGAGCCGATGAGCCGCGTTTCTAAAGTGTCTTTCGGCCCTGGTGACATCAGGTGACCGCAGGCTGCTAAGTCATAAGGGGGGGCCAAGGACGAGCAGCGGTGGACAGAAGAACGCCTCAAGGTTTCAGGGGAAGGCTGCCGACGCACACCCCCGTCTCTCTTCTCCGACATCCTAAGGAGAAACAGTACGCAGAGGTGTAAGTTTAGGGGACTTAGGGAGTCGGAGCAGGTGATAAAAGTCCCCGCCTCGTGAATAATAAACACCGACATCGCACGCAAGCCCCCAGCAGACACCTGTGATACTGCATCGTGTGGAC